TAATCACCATCCCTCTCTCCCTCTCTCAGAGTCATTAATCTAACATCCACTCCTGCGTGTGTGAGCCTCGTCTTTAAAGCCTCTTTTTATGTGACTTGTATGCCAAGCACTTGTCTGTGACCAAGTATTCATGACTCCTATAATCATTAATGATGCTATCTGGGGACTTACAAAGTATCATGTGCGACAGGGGTGCGGGGGCCTTGAAACCTAGGCGCTCTCTCTCTCTCTCGCGCGCTCTTTTTCTTCTTTTTTTGTTCTTTGGAGTAGGTCTTTGCTTAGTTTAAAATCTCTTGCTGAAAGAAAGCTAAATGATTTGAAAATGGCTTATTTTTCTTAACTAATGATGTTTCATGTTACATAAGAGGACCAGTGTCTTGTTAAAAGGAGATGCTGCATTTTCAGTGAATTTCACCTCCCTGAGACTGTTACTTCAGAGAAGCTATGCTATCTATATCACACATTCATGCACTTAGTCGAATGTTTCAGAAGATAACTGCTGTGAGGATAGAGACCAGAGTGAAAGTCTTGGGATTGGCATGTCCTGATGCATGAAGGTGCAATTTGGAAAATCTCTCCTTTTCAATGTTTGTCAAACCTGTGATAAGCCAATATGGATAAAATTGTTGCCTAAGGCTGTAATCCAAAATGCATTCAAGCAAACCTTACACACAAACCCCTATCACTTTTTAGATAATAACTTACCATAGTAGAGCATGAAACTACATATTAAAAGCACTCCCATCAATCAATATCATGTTACATATTTTATAGCTCTCTTAGGTTCCTGCTGTGCTTTCCATAACTGTGTGATGAGACCCATTCCTCTGGTTTCTTTCTCCTTGGCGTTAAGCATTTTTTTTTTTCAGACAGTATGACATGCCCTTTGATAAACAAACAGGGCAAAGTTCGAGATAAACCCTACATCAATAAAACAAAACCACACCTATGTCTTGGCCAAACAAATGCTAAGCCTCCAGTCACGGCTCTCTTCCTCCCACTAGGGAGCGATTGTTGAGATAGACAGAAGTTCGGTGAGGGCGTGAGGGGCAGCAAGGAGTGTGTGAAAAGGGTTCTGTATCACCATTCACACCAATCTTCTCTATTTTGTGCATGAGTTGTTCCATGAAGCATAAAATGTATGAGAAAAATAAAGTGCAAGCAGCACTACAGACATGCTAGACTATAGGTATGCATTTAAACTATGTGAATTTCATACAGCAAGGTCTAGATCAGCATAGTATAGTAAGCATGAATAGTAAGATAGTAGTGGTAAACATAAAATGTGCAATAGGCACAATTACCACACACCTTGTTAGTAAACCTTGGGATACTATTTCAAGTAAAAACCAAGCATTATTTTTGCAGATGAAAAAAAAAAAGAGATTGGAGATTGTTAATGCAGTGAAACCTTCACATCAAGTTCAATGTGGGAAGAAGAAGTAGAGGAAGAGTCTGAGTACTAGCACAGTAATTACATGATTCATACACATTCATACACATGTATTACATAAGCTGTACATTTGTAATTCATCTATAACAGTAAATACATCAGCAGTAGTTACATTGTTCCTGCAGGCGTTGTTAAATTTTGCTTGGACTGCAACCATGACCTGATTTTCCTTGGCCTGATGTTTAACGCATTTGTAAATGCAGAAAATCAAACTGTCTCTGATTTAAAAAGCCTTAAATATTACTCCTTAATGGCATCTCTCTGTTGTTTTCAGAAACTCTCATTGAATCTCAGAATCCAATGTTCCCCTTTTTCCCCCCAATTTTTAGGGCAGAGGTTCATGAGTGCACTTAGAGTTAATAGCTCTGCTGGAGGGGGTCTTTGGGGAGGGTTAAGTTACAGTCCCATACTGAATGCTCAGAGCCCTTTGCCCCTAGAAATTGAAGTTAAACAACTTAATGGGCACAGGAAATGGCTCAGTGACCAAAGCTTTTAAAAAAATGATTCTAATCACAAAGCTCCTTTTGCGTGAAATCTGAGACTGTCTAAGAACGGTTCAGAAAGAGGTTACAACTCATTCTCCAGTCAAATACCTCAAGAAATGCATAAGTACAAGAAGTGTTTTAAAGACCCCACTGTTTTAGGTTACATAAACAGTTTACTTGTGCCATGACATGTACCTGCATAAATGCATATATAAGAGCACAGGTCCTCTGCCTTAAGTTATATCACAAGTGATTTCCTTAACCAAGCCACACCCACATAGTGAAAATACATTAACATTGATAAGTTGACATTTCTTGTTGAAGTTATGTTGACATTTTATATTGAGGTCTGTATATGCTGACTACTCTATTTGACGGAGTGGAAATGTGCTGCTCAATCAAATTAGGTTTATATGACAATATATATTTTTGACCGTATGCAAGTTGGAGCAGGAATCCATGAGCCTTGTGATACTGCAGCTGTGTTATATCATGCATTATATCAAAGTTGCTTGTGCAGTTCCACTTGCATACATGAGCCCACTCTTTTATGGACACATTTTATATTACAAGCGATTTACTTGTGAACTAGCACTAGTCCATTGCCTTATGTTGTACCAGCAAATTACTCAACTATCACAGAAAATGTGCCTGTGTCATGCCACATACTTGCATTCTTCATGTATGAGCCCACTTTTTTATAATAAGTAGAAGAATTACTTAAACCTGGACATGAATTTGTACACTTAAATGTGCATTTTATTTTAGATTATGTTTTTTGTTATGTTATATGTAGTGCATCTCAGCCTCATTTGTTTGACAGAATTCACAACTGTGTACCCTTTGTGTTATCGTACAATAATTTTCTCTTACAACAAAACTCAGTATGCATTACTACACTAATATACAGACATGATATTACGTTTTCTAGCAGTAACATTAGCTATCGGGCTTCTTCTGCATTAGCCAGCTAGTGGAGAAACAAACAATTACAATAGCCTAGTGCAAAGCAGTTGATGTTTTTCAGAAGTTCCATCAACCTTCAATACAGATAAACAGAAGGGTGGTTTCTTTATCTTTAAACTGAATATCTCACTCCCAAGACCTCTATGGCACCACTGTATGAGGCAAGCAGGCATGTTTACAGCAGATGTAGCAATTATTACATTTTTATTTCAGCCAGAGTGCCCCTTGTGTATGTGTATGAACCTACAATGTTGTTTTCTACCACAAGCAGTTTAATTGGCTGTGTGGGCTATGCCACCTGAGTTTAAGCAGTGCTGGATGATGTACTGTTAATACCGGCATTGGTGTCACACATTTTGTATCACAAGCAATTTACTTGTGACTTGGCACCAGCCCATTGCCCTATGTTATACCAGCAGTATTGACAGGTAAGGAGTATTATAGCCACAAGAACATTTTATTCCAAATATACTGTTTTCTTGATGCTGCACTGCTAGAAATGCACTATGTAAAGTTCACTTTGAAGGATAATTGTGAAAACAAGTTATATCAAGTTTGTAAGGTATTACTATTATTATTATTATTATTATTATTATCATTTCTTTTAGCAGAGAGTCCAATCCTCAGGAAGCATGCAATGCAAAAAGCCACAGTAACTATATAGTACTGGACTGTAACACATTTTACAGCAACCTTACACCTGCTTATGTAATGTCTCTTTTGAAATCCAGAGCACAAACAAGAGGTTTGCTCCCTCTTTGCTGCAGTGACTGTCTCTCCTCTTCTCAGAAAGCTTTACACTACATGTTGGACCATAGCTGTGAGAATTTGACTGCATTCAGAATTCACAAGAGCATTAGTGAGGTCAGGTACTGATGTTAGATGACTAGTTTCGAATCACAAACTCATCCCAAAGATACTGGGTGGTTAATCACTCCAGACAATGCAGTTCTACTACTTCAAATGGGGGGAGGGTTTTTTCCTCTCTAGCTGAGGCTTGGCAGTTGGCATGATGACCTCAGGCTCTCATGTGCGACTGCTCCAGAGCATCCCATTCTCTTGGCATATTATAGTTGTTGCTGGCATCAAATTCAAGATAGGCATATATTTTCCAAAAAACAATAAAAGTTCTCGTTTCAACTTTTAATATGTTGGCTTTGTACTATTTTCAGTTAAATATAGGGTTTAAATGATTTGCACATCATTGCAGTCCATTTTTGTAATTTTTCAGTTTCAATTTTTCACTGACATAATTCAAAAGTACATGTTGTACTTCACATTGTGTGTAAATTTCATGATGAATGGACCAACAGAAATGACATTTCTTGGAATTACTTGGGAAAAAAGTCTGGTTCCATTGAACTACATTAAAAGTTGAGTATGGTTTTTCCTTCTCCTGTAAAGTTGTCATTTTGGAAATAGAACGTTTTGTTGCGACAACAGCGAGATGTTTCAGTGTAAGTACCATTTTTTAGAACATCTATTCATTATGAAATTTTCACACGATACGGAGATCAGCGGCCATGCTCAAATAATGTAGAGAAGCAAAAATCACAAAAAATGGAGATACGTGGTTTTCTTTGGACAGCGACCATATATACATTTATGCAATGAACATGAAGTTATGATCTGATATCAGTGATGATTGAACTTACACGAAATGATAGCAATTTCTTCGAAGGCAACTCTAATTTCATACTGTGATATATTTGGAAAAAATATCGCGATACTAAATGTGATCAGTTTCGCCCAGCAGTTCGATCTCATGCTTGTCTTTCTGTCTCAGGCAGTTTATGCAGCCTCCCCACGTGCGCTGCCTCATTTCTCCACTCAGTGGCTGCAGTAAACTCCGGCTGCCTGCTCCTCTACCTCACGGCTGCGCTGAGGCGCTACACTGGGGCTTCGAGGCTCTGAGGCATTTCTGCGCTCAGACACTGAGGCTTTGACTCCGTGAGCTTTGCGCTCCTTCACAGCCCCGCCGAGGCGGACAGGGCGCGAGAGCGAGCGCGTGCGCGTCAGTAGCGTCCGCGCGCGGAGAGAGTGAGAGACAGAGCGCTGGGGAGGGGGGAGAGGAGGAAGAAGAAGAAGGAGGAGAAGAAGAACAAGAAGAAGGAGAAGTAGAACAAGGAGAAAGGAGGAGAGTGACACGGAGAGGAAGAAGAAGAAAAGGGGAAAAGAGAAGAAAAGGAAGAAGATCGCTGCCTTTTCTTTCCAAGCACCGCGCGTTCAGCTCTCTCCAGCACGCGGGCGGAGACCAAGATGATCGGACAGCTCGTGTGCCTGCTCGGCTTGCTCATCAGCAGCAGTGAAGGTAACGCAGGGAAGGGGACGGGCTGCGTGAGCGGGCTGCGCAGGCGGTGTGTGAACAGAGGAGCTCTGGGGAGGGGAGAGTGTGTGTCCGGTGGTGTTTTGTAGGTTGGGCACGTCCCGGTTGGGAGAAAGCGCTTTCTTTTGGTTCTTTGGTCCCAGCTTCGTTTTGGAGCGCGGAGGCTGGCTGCGCGCACTTGGCTCGCGGGCAAAAAAAGCGGTTTTGGGGGCTGCAGAAGTGTTACAGAGGGTGGACTCGAGTTTAGATACTGTATCAGGGCGAGAAACGACACTTTCACCATGTTTTTATGCGCTGGAATGAAGGAAATGTACGACATTATGCCCAACATCTATGTTGATATGACACAGATAGAAGCAAACACTGAACTCTTATGTGGCTACACTGGCTGTACCGGCTGCTGACATATCTGTTATATCTAAACGCTGATTGTAAACACTTGTCCTGGTCTGTGCTGAGTTTGTTTTGGTCAGGTTGTGTCCTGATCCGTGCTATATTATGAGCATTACTGGTACATTAATCCACTGTGAGTGCCCGGTTTAAGGGCTGTGCTGTGCCGGCTGAACTTGCTCTGCTCTGAGTGCTGCTGAGCGTGACTGGGTGGTCGTTGTGCTCTCTGCGTGGACACCAGCTGCTTCTTCAGCCAGAACGGCAGGTGGAGGTAGAGCGCTGTGTACTGACCCTCACACGGACACGAAGGCGCGTTACAAACACAATTTCGAGAAAGAGGAACGAGTGCTGGACGGACTACTAAACACTCAAGTGAATGCATGCGCATTTCTCCACAGCAGCAGAGAGATTTGCCTTGATTTCATGCCAATAGCAGAATGAATTGGTGCTCAGACTGAGGGACTGTTGCACTGCTGTAGTCTAATAATGAGGAACTGGACAGTGAGTGCAGCTGGTAAAGTCACAGTGTTTGATGTTAAGGGCTCTACACTGGATTACATCATGTTATTTCTGTTAATAACTGTGTGACATGGCGGTTACCTGGGTGACGCAGGCAGAGTAGGCCGTGTGTGGAGCCCCAGTTTGGTGGACCATGGAGGGGTGAAATTGAGGCTCTTTCTCTCATATCATCTCTCACTTGTTTTTTCTTCAAAATCTCCAGTCATATTGGTGTTTTGGTGCCTCGTACATGGTGTTAATTGTGACTAGTTGCACTTATATGACCACTGTGGCTCCTTTCCATCTTGCCCTCTATCTTTATCTCTCTTTCTCACACTGTCTCTTTCTCTCTTGTTCAATATCTCTCTGATTCACTCTCATACTCTCTCTCTCTCCCCCTCTTATAGTGTCTCTCTTGCTCGCTCGCTCTCTTTTACACTATCTTTCTCTTGCTGTCTCTCATATACTCTCTTCTCCCCCTCTGTCTTACTCTCTCTCTCCCATTCTCTTCTCCTTCTCTCACTCTATCCCTCTCTCATACCATCTCTTTCTCACTTGCTCACTATCTCTCAGTTTCACTCTGCAATACTCTCTCTCACCCTCTCACCCCCTCTTTGTGTGTTTCTCTTGCCCACTTACTCTCTTCTCCCTCTCTCATACTATCTTGCTCTTAGTACCTCTCTCTCTAAACTTGCTCATACTGTCTCTCTTACTTTCTATCTCTCGCTTATACTGTCTCTCCTATCTCTCTCTCATCCTCTCTGTATCTCCTCCTTTCTCTCCCTCTTATGCTTTCTCTATCTCCACTCACCGTATTGCCATATTGGTGTTTCAGTGTTTCATTTATGGTGTTAATTTGTCAGTAGTTGCACTTAAATAAACACTGTGGATGTAAATACAACACTGGGGATGTTGATTTCTTTCTCTTTCTCTCTCTCTTTCTCACTCACTCTGTATAGTAATAATGCAGCTCATGCACAAGATCAACATCTGTCTGAGTGTTCTTGAGCACAGATCAGTGCTATTGGAATCCTGGCTGCTTTAAAAGAGATGTTCCAGCCGGAGCTGTTTGGCTCTCAGGTCGTTGCTAATGTATGTTGGCTGGGAGCTGTGTGTGTTTAGTTGTACTGAAGCTGGCTGTGATGAATTATGTGCCGTGCCATTCTCAGCGGAGCCAGTCCTTCGAGGTGTTAAGTGCCATAATGAAGGGAATCCTCTGAATCTTATTCTCAAATGTCAGCAGCAGGAGCTGTAATAGTTTTCTGCCCAGAAGCAGTGTTCTAGTGTGTGTGTGCGTGTGTGTGTGTGACTTGACAAGAGTGAGAGGGAATGTGTTAACTGTCCTCTCTGGAACTGTCCTTGATGCCAAATGGGTGTATTAAAAGTGTGTGTTTGGGTTGTGTGTGTGTGTGTGAGAGAGAGAGAGAGAGAGAGAGAGAGAGAGAGAGAGAGGACTCTCATTTTAGTCCCCAAACACACACTCATAGTCACTTAAGTGAACCTGCGCTGCACTGTGTTTAATAATTGTGCTAGTGCGCTGTCCCTGTGGCCACTGCTTTAAAATAGCTCAGACTGTCTCATTGCCAAATCTTCAATTTAAGTGGGTGGAAGTAAAAGGAGCATGGTGCATTCTTCATGGTCCAAGAAATCAAAACAAATCAAACAAATCAAAACAAATCAGCTCGAATCAATAGTTCTGAGTCACTAGCCAGACTCTTACTGTAATAACAGGCAAAGGCACAACTATGGTTTGAAGACTGGGGGTGGGGGGGGTTGAACAGGGCCTTCTATGGGGGCCTGGGAATCTGGAGCCAAACAAACAGCTTTTGGAAATATGCAAATCTCACCACAAGTTAGAAAAACAGAAAAATTGTAGATGCATGTACATACTAAAGGGCCCATATCATAGAAACTGTATTTACTAACTTTTTTTCAAATAAAAGAGTTTGATATAGTTTGTAAACATTGTGAAAGTTTCACTCCCCAGTCCATACACAGTGATGAATCTAAGCTGCGAGAAACAACTTGTTTTGAGTCCACTGTTTCTGTGATGTTATGAAAAGCACCACATACATCTACATATTCAGCCTACAGCAGTTTAGCTCTGCCTATTCTCTCAGACGTTATACGGGGTGTTTCAGCCTGGACTGCTTTTTGGACAAGGCATGATACTGGGCAGCCAATCAGAAGAGCAAGAACATTTACATAAATCAGTCTTAAAGTCACAGTAACAGCCTGTTTAGGTCTGAGGGATAAACAGAGGTTGGAAAATGGTAAAGTAAAAATGAATGACTATTTTGGCACAATAACTCACACAAACTTTATAAGTGGACCCTAATGAAAAATATTAAATACAAAAAAAATATAGGATGTGGACCCTCTAATGCTTTCGTGTAAAATTTGCTTTAAAAACAGAACTACTCAAAACTACTCAAAAAGTTTATACTTTACGTAAATGTATAATTTATTTAAAAGGTTTGAAACTGTTTGACCAGAAGAACACAAATTAATATCATTTTAATACCCCTAACATCACCCTTGCTCCTCATCTAGTGCTTGTTTTTATATCAGAATCAGTTTGAAAGACTGCAATTGTCAAATTGCAAGACCTGAAATTTTAATTATTCTTTACATTATTCAACATTGTCTTTACATGTTTTTTAACTAATTGTTAATTAAAGGATCACAGAAAGGTTCACCACATTGCATTCAGGCCACAGACAGTCAATTAAGTTTGAGTTAGTCATTTATATTTTTCATATAAACATGTATACATGTGCACATACATTTACATACACATGCACTTGCCAGTGATGATATGGTTACATTAAAATAAGTTGAAGGGGGTTGTAAAGAAAATAGGAGACTAGTGCCTACTACATATTTAAATTTAATCATACAATATTCTCAGACCATTATTGACACAGCTGGACTCCATCTTTTAATATATTTCTGCCTCTGTAGTCTGAAATGATGTGTTATTTGTCTGTATTGTGCAATTCCCATAGGTGCTGTATTCAGGATTTACATGTTGGGGCAGGACTGTTTAGACAGTTTATGGTCATACCCTTAATGGCAGCTGTAAATAAAATTTGTTGCTAGATCTGACATCTATTATCAAATCCCTGAGGAACAGCTAACAATCACACTAATGGCTCTTTAGGGATTTAAATACAATTACAGACTGTAGTACATCTGTTTCTGCTGTGTCCAATCCACTCATACCAGCGTAATACATGCCACCATCATGCTAGTCTCATTAAGGTGCTAAGAATGTTCCACCACCCAAATGATACCTGCTCTGTGGTGGTCCTGTGGGGGTCCTGACTACAGAACAGGGTAAAAGGGGCTAACAAAGTATGCAGAAAAACAGATGGACTACAGTCTGTAATTGTAGAACTACTAGAACTACTAAGTTCACCTATATGGTATGGATGATAAATGTAGATTCAAGGTAGATATACCTCATCAAGGGCTCAGTGAGTTTATATAGCATTATGTTCAAGAAATGTTTTGACATTAATTTTAGGTTACTGGACGCTGATTAGACTAAGGTTGGGGTTCTAGGAACTGCCCCCAGCAGTGTGTGAGTGTGTGTGTGTGCACGCAGAGATATATTTATATTGCTGTTGTTGGAAGAAAACCTTGTATCTCCAGAATGGTAACTTTACAGGAAAAGGAAAAAACCTACTTTACTTTTAATGTAAGTCAATGGAACCAGACATTTTTCCAAATCATTTTTGACCATTTCTTTTGGTCCGTTCATCATGAAATCTACACACAATGTAAAAGGTAACAGGTATTTTTAAATTGTCAAAAACTGAAATGTGTGCTATTGTTCATTGTAGGTTTTATTATATTAGTAAAACCAATATTTTTGTCATACTTTATTATAAATAATAATAATGGTAATAGTAATAAATAATTACTGGTTATTATTGGAGAGGTTGTAACCCCCAACCCCATGGAAATTATTCCTGTGATAACGCTTAAGAGGCAGCATAAACATTACATGATATACTTATTGGCTATGAATCATCTAAGCAGTTAAACTATTAAAAACACATGCATACTAATTTGTCCTGGTTGGAGGGCAT